ACATACATACATACATACATACATACATACATACATACATACATACACACATACGTACATACATACATACGTACATACATACATACGTGGCTCAAGCCACGAGTGCTCAAGGAGGCGGCCAGTGAAGCCCTCCTAGTGCGGCACCCCCAGGCAAACATAGCGAGGACATCGACATCAAGCACGGCCCACGGACAAGGTCAAGTACCCCCGTCCATTGCCCGTGTTCTAACGACTACACCTTCCTCGCTACCAAGCTTCTCTTTGGCACCTGGCAGGTTCTCGCCTGGCTGTCTCAGTGACATCCACAAGGGCACTGGGCCAACTTCCTGGCAGAGCACCTAGGCCTGAACGTTCGGTGCCGAGCACCTCACCTCCCTGACTGAGCTCTTCCTGACTGAGGAAGCAAGACTATGATGTCTTCCAAACAGTCCACCTGCTGCAGAACCTACACTGCATGTGGCAACACCCAATGCACCAATTGGATTTGGAGTGACAAAAAGGGTCAGGGACACGGCAACCGAGGCAAGACCTTCAACAATGCCAAATGGCCCAAGAAGACTTATGCTGAAGCTCTCCTGGACTCACCACCTGGCCTACAAAAGCTCAGGCCGCTCAAGAAGGGCAAGAACCAGCAAACGGCAGCAGACCTTCTCGCCACTACGTGGGATGTCATCCCGGGTGAGATTCAAAGCAAACTCCAAGCCTTGGAATTCGGACCACCTCAACCAGAGGAACCTGGACTGGCTGAAGTCCTTCAGACGCGCCTCAATGCACTTCCCAAGGCAGTCCAGGACGTAGTCAACAAGTTGACCCAACCAATCCCAAACACCGAGAAGGAGATTGCACAAAAGATGAAAACTCACTCAAATCCATCTCCGTCAAGAAGACGCAGCTTCAGGCCAAGCTTGATGCAATCAAGTCTCAGTATGCCTCCATGCTGCATGACATGCAAGAGCTACAAACCAAACTGATGGAAGGCCAGCAGAAGTTAAAGATCCTTTCAGAGCAGTACATGAAGGCCGTGAATCAAAGCCCAATGCCAGAGGAGCTGACCAAGACTGCAGAGACGGAACTCCCAATTCCGATGGCGGTAGAGACCTTCGTCTCAAGCTTGGGCATTGATTTGACTGATGACCAACGCAGTCAATTGCATGGCCTGCTAAAGCGGCCTAGCCTCGACGAGGACGAGCGCAGCAAGAGACGCAAAACAGAGGCGCCGGCAGCACTGCCGTCAGGAGGACAGTGCGGGTAACATTACCCCAACCTTCCCAGGGGGGCCACTCAGGGATCATGGTGCCAGTCCCCACGGACGATTTTGATGATGACCCAACACCACATGGGTTTGCCGTGCTGCTTCTGGCTCAGAACAACAGGGGCGGTCAGAAGTTTGTCCAGGCGCAGGGGAACAGACACCTTCAAACTCACATGACCAACTTTTTCAAGAATCACAAGGGGAAACTTCAGGCACAGGTGCAGGGGAGAACACCTTTGAGCCACAAAAAGCATCACACACATACAGCCACCATCTCATGTTGGCAAGATTTTGACATTTTCACCAGCCTTGCACGGGGCGTGGATGGTCCTACGCTGTGGGCGCCAGGACCTACTGTCATCCCGATCAAGGGTGGAGCATACCAACCAGTCCAGACGGCCATACCACCCAGGCCGCCCACAGGATGCAGCGCACTTATTCATCCACGGCTGAATGCATTTTGCAGAACCTCTCCATGACAGTTGGGAACCCGAGCGCACGATGCTATGCCAATGCACCCTGGAGAGCTTTCACCTGGACATGTGCACTTCTACAAGAGACTCACACCCAACCATGGGGAAATCTACAAGAAGCGGTGCAGGAATCTATGGAGCTGGCAGAGGCTGTGGACCTGCATCAACTACCTGCATTGCAGCCGCTTTGGACAAAACACGACTTGAACATTCAAGGGGACGCCAACCACTTTGTCAATTCTTTGTGGAATTTGTCCCAAACAAGAGATCTCCACTACCGCTTTGCTGAGCCCAGGGCAGAGGAGCCACCTTGCATGTGGTTATCAAGCCACTGGTTCCACCGAAGACAGGAGGCGCGTGGAAAAAAGGCAAAAACCGCCTGTTGGGAGCAACTCCAAGCTCGTCTCCGTTTGGCCCTCAAGCAGTCACCGGAACAACCAGGAGGACCCTGTAAAGGCTTCATGACCGCCATCCAAGATGCTCCCAAGCACTGGCTAGGACCACCCACTTGGGGACAATTTCTCGACACTTGCCACCACTGGCACCGCTACCGCAATCCCCCACGCAGGAGATTTACTCCTTCACACAATAGGGCACCAACAGGCAGCCAGTGATGAATCCCACCTCCAGGCAGGCCAGAGGTCTCAGAGACTTCCCTCAAGCAGAACGCATGGATCACCGCCTCAAGAACTGGGGTGAGCTCTCGCCCTGCACGAACGAGTCTTAAATAGCAGGCCCGGCAACAAGCCCAGCAGCTAGAACCCCTCACCCATGGGCAACTGGCCAGAGTGCTCAAAGGCCTCCCTGACAAAGCGAGTGGGTGAGATGCTGTTTCAGCCCAACTCCTCCGGAATGCACCACCCCTCTCATTGGGCCCTTTTGTTGAAGCTGTCAAGAGATGGAACACCAAGCGCAACTACCAACCCAGCTGCAGATGCATATGGTGGTCATGCTCCAAAAAAAGCAGCAAAGAGCGCCCAATCACACCCACGTCAGTGCTTTACCGCGTGTGGTGCAGGGTGAGAAAACCCCTGCTGGACCAGTGACAAAAGCAGCTACCAGCTTCCATGGACCACGACCGTGCCCGCCCAGGTGCCAATGTTCTCTAGGTTGCACTGGAAAGACTCCTCAGACAAGAGGTCCACAAGGCCAACGGATTGCACGGAGTCACAATATTGATGGATACGTCCACGTTCTACGACACCATCAATTTGGACTGTCTTCAAGAGGAGGCTCTAAAGCTGCAATACCCTCCACTCCTGCTTGAGCTGGCAATGCAGGTCTACACAGGACCCAAAGCCATCGTGGCAGAACAAGAGATGACTCCGTTCTTTCGAGTCAGCAGTGGAGTACCGGCCGGCTGCCCCCAGGCTCCACTGCTGGCCAAAGCTGTCTTAGCCCCAGCATTGACACCATGGCAACAACAGCACCCACAGACACACCTGTCCAGGCAAAAGCCCCACACAGGTTGCTCTGGATGCAGTCGATGCCTATCGAGATCTGCATCAACGCCTTGGTGAACTTGGCCTCAAGGTCGATCCCAAAAAGACCGCCTTCATAGCAACTGACAAGGCCACTGACAAGGAGCTTCAGAAGCTGCTCAGAGATGATGAGCCCTCGGTGGTTCCAGTCATGCGAGATCTCGGCATCGACCATCAAGCGGGACGCCGCAGGAGAATCCCAGTGATGAAGCAGCGACTGGCCAAGGCCAAACACAGAAGACTCAAGCTGCACACACTCAAGATCCCAGGCCTAGCCCCAAGATACAGAACAGCTCTTAGACAAGCCATGGCACAACGCCTTGGGCACCACAAGGGAGGGCTCCTGGATAGCACCTTCGACTATCACAGTGACAAATACCTTGATCCAGGAGATCACATCATCATCCAGCACGTATCTCCATCAACCCTGGTGGAAGGTTGAGCAGGTGCTACTGCACGAAGCACGCCAACTGCGCAGGGAGCGGTCCAATTCAGAGACACCACTAAGGCCAGACCGTGCCCACTGTGCAATGTACCGGCCACACCCAACCAAGCACATCATATGGCTGTGCAAGTGGCACAAAAACCAGAAGCATGGACCCATGCCAGCCGAATGGATGGAGCGCATCACTTGCCCTGATGAAGAACCACTTTGGTCTACCGGGTGGATACCACTCGAACCACAAGAGCGCCGGCAGCAACCCCATCCATACCAAGGCCATGGATCCTGGCAGACTCTGCAACCTCTGGCACCCCACCAATACATTGGATGGGCCTTCACTTTGGACGCCACCCCATCCACCTACGATGCCAGAAGTCAAACGTTGGTTTTTGGCCTTTGTGTCCACACCCTCAGCATGGGCCAGCTCAAGCGCTTGGGGGCCATCACTGGCATACCCACAGGAGCCCAGACTAAAGCGCGAGCTTTGTTTGCAGGTTTGGTTGCCTTGGCAAAGCACACAACCACTCCAGTCAAGGTCATTTTGCAGCTTGCCTCAGTGTGGGGAGCCTGGCAGACTCACCACCGCAACCAGCCCTTCCCGGATCTCCTGGAAGATCTCACCACCTCTGACAGACAGAGAGTCACTGTGCTTTACGTCAGCAGGAACACACGCACACCAGAGGCCCCAGGCAACGAGCCTCTCAACTCAGAAGACGCCAGAGAGATGGTGGCCTGGGAGAGAGCAAATATAGCCTGCACGACCGTAGACAGACAGAATGGCAGAAAACTGTCGATCAGGACAACACCCTGATCTACAAGCACGCCATTCAAAGGCTCGCCAAGATTTATGAGGACAAAGAGCATTACATCCATGAAAAGGCGCCCAGACACCAAGGCAAGCAAACCAAGCAGAGAAAGAAAGATCTTGTCAGTCAATGCCGCCAACCTTGGAAGCCCCAGCACCACAGGTGGGAACCTCATCGCAGCGGATAACACTGCAGTGCCTGCAGCACAAGGATGCACCAAGGGCTAACTGCCTCAATGCTTGAGGAGAGACTCCATGAACACTGCCCACAATTGCAGCTGGACGAACATAGACAGGCACCACCGCCTTCGGCCCCTGAGCTGACCAAGAAGCCAACGAGGGCCCAGCTCATCCACCAGCTGCTCAAAGCCCAGCAAGACACACCGCCGGCGCCAGACAGATACATCCTGGAAGAGACCAAGGGCTACCTCAAGTGCCAAAGGTGTGGAGTAAATGTCCACAAACGCACCAATGAGCAGGCCTTCCAGGAGTTTGTCAACAGCCCCTGCCTAGACCAGCCCTTCCAGGAACCACGTGATGGGCATCCAAGCCACAGGCTGTGGCAAAAAGGTCATCAAGTTCGATGCACACTCTGTGGGCCATCTTGATAGCCAAAAGCGTGTGATTGGCGGTTCCACCTTCCACAAGGAGTGCAAGGGAGCAGGGCTGAAAGGATCACCACCGATCCATTCTTTCTTCAAGCCCACAGCTCAACCCACACCAGGAAGGGAGCAAGATGATGACACTCCTGACAGTGCAGGGACACGGGCAACTGCGCCACCAGCCAGGCCCACGCCGAAAAGGTTCTCCACACAACTCACCGAGTGTGAGGACGACGCCCAGCCTCTCAGTGGGAGCAGGGGACTCACAGCACCAGCATGGTGAGACACCAAAGCCGATACCACCTGCAAAGGCCATGAAACCCAGCCTACCAGCAGGACCAAGACCAACGGTGATAGTGTCCAAGCACAGAGGTCACCGCTTGACCAAAGCCGCATTTCACGAGCAGAGCCAGAATCGGCCGAAGAAGAGAAACCTGAACATGATGAGATCCTGGTTGACTTCTTTTAGGCCTTCAAAGCTGGTGGGCAGCGGCTGCAGCACGCACATGCCAAAATGGCATCGAGACCGTAGCTGAGAGAAAGAACCGCTCTAGGAAAAAAATACATACATACGTACATACATACATACATAACGTACATACATACGTACATGCATACATACATACATAGGTTTAAATACATATATACGTACATACATACGTACGTACATACAAACATACATACGTACATACACACATACGTACATACATACGTACATACATACATACATACGTACGTATACGTACATACATACATACGTACATACATTCATAGATACATACGTACTTACATACATACACACGTCTACTGTATACATTTGTATACTGTTTGGTGGTCGGATATTGTTTTCATTCGTTCTTTGTTGGAAGAACACGCACGCCATTCTGACCAAGCCCGGACCGAAGCAGAGACGGTTCCAACTAGTTCCAACAAATCATCCAGGGCAGAGACGGGCAGACGCCGCAAAGTGAGTTGATTGAATGACTGGAAAAGTCCCATGAAGCAGTCAAACCTGTTCTCCTCAGCCGGATTTTGGCATGTTTCTTGCCAGGATGGAATGGATGGCTCGAGAGTATTCTTTCGAAGATGCAGTGGTTATCTTGGTCACGAGCGCACAGCATCAGACTTTTCTGCCTCAATATGAATGCGCCCTTTGGCCGCACAAAAAAGACAGAAACACGTCAATGGCCTCAAACACAGAATTGTGCACTTGTGCAAAATTGTTGGGTCCAACAACTTCCATTTTCATGATTTTAAGGTTTGCTACTAATCAAGAAATCAAACATCTTGGGATTTAGGATTCTTTGCGTCCGCATTCCCGTGTCTTCAGATCCTTTATTCTCCGGGAAATGGGAGCTTCGCCGTGGAGAACGATCGGGAGAAAATTGGGCATTTGGCAGAGCCACCTGGCTGGAGAAAGAGAGGATGGAATATGTTCAGACTGCACTCCCTCGGTGCATCGTGGTCCCCCATCCGGCATCATTTGGCTGGATAAATACAGGATGATACCTGGTGCTAAGTCTGGTGCTACTAGGGACAGGGACATGATCTCTAGGTACTTTCTTCTTGGACTAATTTTTCTTTGTTTATTTGTTATTATGGACCTTGAACTATTATTCATTTCACACAAAGCACCCAGATTGGGAGGCGCCGGTGCAGGGTGTGGAGACTCTTCTTGCCAAGGGCTACTTGAGAAATGCCTAGAACGTGAGAGTTGGTGTTTATCGCGAAAGCTAGCACCAGCTGCTTTCGTCACTAACCCTCAGCCTCAAGTATGAGTCTAGGATTGTCTAGGCATTTGTATTATAGCTATGGCTATACCAGGGGTCACAAAGGGGTGGTGTTTAGTCCCATCCAGTGAGTTGATGTGACAGGGGCACCCCGACTTCCTCCAAGTTCGGCACCCCGACATGTGACTCCACTGAAAGCATCCGGAGATGCCAACTCTTTGCGACGACATCCATGCACTCCAAGGAACATGATCCTGAAGAAGCTTCATTTTTGTTTGGAGTAGCTTGGACCCGCGTGCTTGAGCAACGGTGTTTTTTTTTTGTTCGGTGAACCATCGTTATCCGTATACTGACTTCTGAACGAATGCGGCTGTGAACGACTGTGCGCTGGACATCTTGTGGATCCACGGTGCTTTGCCTTCATGAATATGTGTTCACGTGTTTATGCAGTATATATATATACTTATATATTATATATATATATGTACGCTCCCTGAAAGTGATCATGCATGGTTTTTGGACAACCCCTGTTTGTAGATGTTTGGGGAAAGGGTCATCCAAGGGGCCATTGATACAGATGTCATCGTGATGTCAGTGATCAGTTCTGCACGATACAGAACATATATTCAGTTCCGCTGCGCTGCCTGCTTGCGGAAGCGGGAAGTGAGGATGGGTGATTTGCACAACTATCGCTTCTTCCTGAATCAGCAAACCATCCGCCTAGAGGGTCTTCGCCCAAGCCCTTTCGATGCTGGGACTGGTGAACTGGACATACTTGGGCTTGTAGGCCAACTGGACACATTGCTAGGCCAGGCTGATCTGGGAAGGCGAGTGGACCCAGACTGGGTGCCAAGTGCGGTCTCCACGACAAAGGATGATTTAAGACATAGACATAGAGGTATTAAAAGAGGGAGACCTCCCAAAGACCCCCTGGATGGAAAATAGATCCAAACACATTGGTTGCGGGGTCGCCTACAAAAATACGCACCCAAATTGATGGTAGAAGATGGATCTGGAATGATCTGGAGGACAACATCGGATAAATTTATCACTAGTCCAAGGACCTATTTCTCCACAATAGCTCGGACTCGTGGAACATTCTACCAGGGCAGACCGCTTTGTGTTTGAGGGGTACGAACCCCAACAAATTAGCTGCAAGCAGCTCACTATATTTAAGAAAATTAAAGAACCTACTTTCCTGCATGTTTCATGCATTCACCCATTGCTGCAGGTCTTTTGGATGACAAGTTAGCTTTCACGCGCTGTCTTGAGGATGATGTGGTGCCGGGCTTCGACACGGAGATCGACCCCTCCACCGATTCCGAGAGCTTCCTCTTGGAAAGGCGAAGTGAGTGCATGACACGAATTCGGATGAGTTTACGACAATAGTAACAAGAAGCTACTATAGTTGGAGGCCATCGCTAATAGGTTGGAGGCCATTACTACTAGTAACAAGAAGCTACTTACTATATAGTATTTTACACAACATGTCTCTTCCACCTGTTCATCGATCTGAAACTCTTCTCCGATTGTATTTTCAACGTCCAACCGTCCAACTGGTCTTCTCCGTGATGGAATTTTGTTCAATAGACTGGCCTCATCAACTGTGGGAGTTGGATCCTAGAACGGGGACTACGGGGACTTATCAACCTTTCGGATGCCCGGTGTGCCGATGACTGTCCATTCGAACCTTCGGATTGCGGATGAGGAGTATACACCTGGGCAGACACTTTGTTGGTGACTCCCCGGTAATCAGCTTGTGATTCGCTCAAGAACCCCCAACTATCCCTCGGGGCCCGTGCCGAGGGCGCCCCGCAAAAGCGAGGTTCTGCTGACTTCAAACCCAAACCCTAAATGCTGGATGAGCCCGGATGAGCTTTGTGGGCGATGTTTTTGTTGCGCTCATTTTGAATGAGCTCATGTCAGAATCTGAAGCTTCTGCCGGAGGGTAGGGGTGGATTTCCTGAACGCCAGGTTCATGTATCAAAACGGCTTCGTGAACGTGTCCGAGCACCTCGGCCGGACGGAGGTTTTTTGACCGAGGCATGCAACGATCAACGTGCACGTTCGGAGTGGGAAGAAATAAGGACAACATGACGTTCTATTCTATACCTGCAGCACTGCAGGTTCCCGAATGGATAGACACGATTTGCCATGCACCATTCATGGTTGAAGGAATTGTGAAGTTAAAGTTGATATGTGCTAGTTAGTGTTCCAAATACAATCAAATATATATATATATATTACATACAGCTATCATAAAGCCAAGTAGATCCAAGTATAGATAAAACCAATGCCATATATAACATATATATATATATATGAGCAACCACTTTTATTTAGGCTTGACATGGCTTTACCAAAGTAGTCTACGGCACGCTCTATTTGCTTGTTTATCATCAGTATTCGCTTGTGAACGAGATAGGGCCCCCACATAAACGGGATACTTTTGCTTGATGACACTAAAGTAGCCTGAACGAGATAGTGTGATCTGCTACTAAAGTAGTCTGAACGAGATACTGTGACGTGACCTCCTACTTAAGTAGTCTAAACGAGATAGGGCCCCTACATAATAGATAGTGTATTTGAGTTTAGTACCAAATAAATGCCGCCGCACATACATATTATATACAGTATAGTAATAAGTATACATTATATGTTGTAATCGAGGTGCAGGGGCTGTTTTAAATCTTATTTGTGATCAAGTCGTACCCAGCATGGTCTAGCCGCTAACCAAGGTCCGTGGTTCGTCGATCCTTATGGTTCCTCCTCCCTTTGGTGGTCTCTTCCTTCAGATGTACGCACCAACTCCAGGTACGACGAGGGTGGCTGGCCGCCTATTTGCTTTGCAGCGATGAAGGGCGACCCGACGCTCATCGAGGCTGGCGTCCGAAAGCAAAGAATTCCGATAGACACGCGGCATGCGTGCTTGCGCGGGCTGGCACGCGCTTGCGCACGCGTTTCTGTGTGTGCGTGTGAAACCCTTGGAGTCACAGAGAATCCTTTGATTGTGGTTTTCTTTTTCTTTGTCCAATTTCAATCAGCAGGGGGGCTGGTTGTTCATGCAAGTACCAGCCCAACGAAGAGGCTTGCATTGAACACTGATATCGGTGGGGACGCTCACGGACGTACCTGCTTCTTTTGAACTGTTGACCAAGCCGTGACCCCCCACTTTTCAGTAAAGAGCTAATGCACTCTGCAGACACGCACTCGTCGTTCAGAGCGTTGGGACTTTGGCCTCCTAACTACAAGCGATGGCCCTTTGGACTTTGAGGTGGTCAGATCGCACTGCATGTCACCTGCTTTACCCAGGTAATGTGTTCACTTAGGCTTCTTCGGGGCTTGGGGCGATCAATTCAGTACGCAATATCTTGAGTGTGTGTGTGTGTGAATCAGTATGTCAGATCCGCTTCTATCATGCATGCTCCATAAGTCATTGAAGGCCACAGAGGATTCTCCAATGAGGTGGTTCAAGTTCTTAGTCTAACATCATTACTCTAACCACTGGAATCACCAACGGAATACTGTAGTTTGTTCGACCCAGGCTGACCCGAACCACCGCCATTTTTGTTGAACCCCCGACTCCCGACATGCTTCTGAGGGTACAGACGGCTCTAAGCCATGCTTCAAAGGTGGTGGATGCCCGCCAAACATGTCCAAGCCCTGTCGCAAACCAGCAATTGTACAAGTGTGCCATACATACATGAAACAAAAAAGTACTGCAAGATACTGAAAGATGCGTTGTTCGGGTTTGCGTGTTTGCTCCTTCTTCTTGCCAGACGGGTTCTGAACCACCCACTTCTGTCCCACGGGGTGTCTCGTTGGGGGTCGGATCGAGGGTCGACGCGCGTCTCGAGTCTCCACGAGGGGATGGCCGAAAATCATGGGGGGCGTGTCAAAAAATTCGACCAATTTTCAGGTCCGAGAGGCCTGCCAGTCCAAATAACCTTTGAGTGTACCCTTATGAAATGGCGATCCTTTTTCTCTGATAACATGCAAACTCCAAGGGATATTTTATAACCCAAAGGAAAACCAAAAATATGTTGGGTTTTCCACCATCCAGGCCTTGCTGGAGCGAAAGGCGAATCCCAACGACCGGACTTTGCAGTGCCCTGGAGGGTCTACCGTGGACACAGCGAAGCAGATCAACCCGAAAAGACGGTTCATGGTGTATGGCAGAACCAACAGGTACACCTTTATATAAACGTTTTTTGGGAATTGGGAGAGAACAGGTGGGAAAAGGTATGCCTTTTTTAAGGGAAACTTGGGAGCAAGCACAAGAAGGCCCATCAACAGATGTGAGAAAGGACATAGAGTCGTTGGTTGAACAATCTCACTCTTCCGCTGTGGTCAATGGTTTGTTACAGTGAAGCTGGCAAACTCAGGGTTATGTACAGCAAGCCTCGCCAAAGCAAAATTGGTTTACCCTACCCGTGTGGTCATTCGCAGCATAGACATTGACATCGGCCCCTGAAGGTGAAGGAAAATGGTCGAGTTCATCCATGCCGAAACCGAATCACCAGTTGTGTAGGAACCAGGAATGGTATGGCCGTGGATCACCCGGGAACCCTGGTCAACCCTGAAAATGAACAGATTCCTCTACCAGGTCCCTTAGGGGGGTGGTACTAATAATAGCATATAATAGCCCCTTAGAGGTAAGGGGTGTCCATCAACCACCCCTTAGGGGTTGTAGTATAGGTGATGTCAATGATGTCAACCTACCGTGGATTGGTGGGGGAGAAATTGACTCACAGCCGTATATGAGTCTGAGAGAAAAGCACAGTTCAAACAGATCCCTACTACATCAGTCATCAGTCTGTATTCTTTGAAATATTGAGCATTCCCCATCGATTTGCTGTGCAAAATGGATGGTTCTTGCATGGACCGCTGCTGTGCCACTCGTTCGTGGTCCAATTTGCGACTCTAAAAACCACGTATAGTTTTTGTTGGAATTCGTCGATTCTTTTCTCATTTAGACCCCAGGGCTCCAACAACCTCCTTTCGAAGCCACAAACCACTAGTAACAAGAAACTACTAGGGGCTCGCTCCTGGCCTTACTACTAGGAGCAAGGACGGTACTCGGGGCAGGCTTTCGAAGCCACAAGCAGGCTTCAGGTCTCCCGGACTTGGCAAAGTGCCGGCCCGGTCCGGCCCGAGGCCCAAGCGATGTGTGCACTTCGAACACCAGATGTGTGCACTGAGCATGTGCAGTTTCTTCCGGAGAAACGAGGTGCGGCTTCTTCCGAAGTCACCGGGGAAGACAGGTGGAGCGTCGTTAAGACATGGAAGGGCAGGAGTGGTAAGACAGGGAAGTGGGCAGTTAGTACTGAACTAGCGCATCGTGGACTCAGGAAGACCCTTTTTAGACGGTCAAAGTCAGATCTCACTTGAATGAGGGTGTTAATTATAAACAAGTTAGAACCATTTGTTCCCTATAAGATCTAGCAAACGATCTAACAAATGGATGTTTCTTATAGGGAACCAACGGGATCCAACGGGTACAGTAGACCCTTTGGCCGTTCACGGCCCTGTGGGCCTCTTCCCTCTCGCCAGCACAGCCTCTTGAGCCTGCCTTTTGCCGGAAGAAGCCTGTTGGTCGCATGTAGGGCGCCCATGTTCGCCCCCCACCATCCAAAGCTCTGAGGCCATGCGGGTGCTCTTGGAGGCACGGGCAGACCCTGACCTGCCGGACGGCCGCGCCTCGCCGGGACGGAACCAGGTGTGACGGAAGAGGTGTGGTGTCATGGTTCATGACAAGAAGGACCCTCTGACCCTCCAAAGCCATTTCATATAGTCTTAATGTTGACCCAAGAAATCCCAGAAAGACCATTCCAAGAATGGCTTAGGAGCACGAAAAAGTCTCAAGGGGCTGCTTTTTTGACATCCCTTAGGAGATGTACACCTGGTATGTACACTTCTATTATCTCATATTGGATTATCTTGGGGACCACTGATATGTTGCTTTGAAGAATCATGGTTTAATTGACCATGTACGTCTCAGAATCTCCTTTGGAGATCTGGATGGACGTTTTGATCCGGGGTCGTCTGGTGATGTCTGGTGTGGCGGTTCCCATCAGCCTTGACCTGAACGCGCTGCCGGGTGAAGCCGAGACCCTCCGGAGGGAAGAATTTGGTCTGATTTTTCTGCTGATAGATGATAGAGGGGGAAGATCTCTCCAAAATGAATCTCAGAGATTCCACGGCCGGATTCTCCAAACAACGTGTGGATTTTGGAAGCGCCTTCATGGACGACCGCAAAGGCGATGTTGATCCAAAGTTAGAAACGCCATCAGGTATCCACTCTTCTCATCGATTTGGGAATTCTTTCCGTGTTGAACACCTAAATAATCAGGATATTCCACCAAAGTCGAATGACCTCTATCACAAAACATCACAAAACATACAGCCTTAGATTCCTAACCTGCTTCCGATCTTTGAAAAATGTAGCTGAGTGGCATTTCTCGCAATCAAAAACATTGAACGTACCTCTTCATGCATTTCTATTATTTAAATACTCGCTAGCTGCAAAATCATCATATCGCCCAAATCCTTCCAGGTTCACAGTGGCCGGAACCAGCTTTGTTTCAATAGTGAAGTGGTCCAGCGGCCAAGGAAAGTGCACCAGTTTACACTGGGCCTGTGCTGCAGACAATGTGGAAGGCCTGCGTATCCTTTTGGAGGCGACTTGAAACACTGGAACCGGGTGAAACACTGGATTGTAGGCAGAATCCCAATTCGCAAGTTTTTGACAGAATTGACAGGATTGGATGCTGTCCTCCCTTAGACTTTAAGTTGAACCCAGGATCCAAAACCGATTAGCCTTGACTCTGACCGAATCCCTTCATTTTTCTGTTTTTTGCGATGGGCACGACCCCGTGATTTCTATTGTCGATGTACTGAGCGCGGCTGATGTTCCACAGGCCAGTCAGGATGTCGTACATCGAATCCCATTCGGCCGGATATTGCCGGCCCCATCCCACCAACCATTTGGCCATCTCGAGGGCCATCGCGTTCGGACCCTCCTGGTCCGCCATGGCGGAGGTCTCGAGCCCGACCTTGAGCCAAAATGGCTACGCTTGAGGTCGGTGGCGATCCCTTTCTTCAATCCGGCCCTGGCCCGGATGTCTTCGGCACCGCCTGCGCCGATCTGAGTGGACAGACCATTCTTGAAGCCCAGATTACTGCCCAGATTCTCCCTTCCCAAAAGGCAACATCCATTCACACAAGAGTGGAAGCGTACAAGCGAATGGTGGGCTTTTGTGGATGTCACTCTACCTTGGCATCCTGTGCTGTTAATATCCAAGGTGCATGTGGTGCTACCCAGTGTGTCCGAGAGTTGCTTCTTCGGGTGCAAGGCATATCTCTCAAGGATTGCTTCTTCTGGGCCTTGCTTTTGGATGGAGGCACCTTTGCCTTCTTTTGTACGAGTTCTATGTGTCATCTCATGTATCCAACTCGTCCAAGTAGAACCAAGACCGAAGTGACAGGGTCGTTGATTCCGACCGAGGCCAGTCCCCTTGGACCGATGGTTCGACTCTTTCGGAGCGGGGCAATCAGGGTATTCCAAGACGGGTGACGGGTGTCAATCATGGTGTATGATGCGCATCCGTTCGTTGGGATGCAGAATCCAAACCTATAGGATAGTCTTGACCCGCAATTCTCTCGCAGGGTGAACAAAAATCACCCGTCATCCGCAGCAGTCGCGGTGACTTGCTGGTTGCTCCAGAGGCTCAGCAGAGCAGATGAAGATTCTTGCAGAGGCAAAGGGGGACATCAACGAACCCTATGTGCCGGAGATACCAGCGCTGTGAATTGGCACAACAGGACGCTACGAACGGAGCAAAGGGCATCGCTACTAGTAACAAGGATGCTATTAGTGGCTCCTGGCACCGCTACTAGGAGCATTCTTACTAGCACGGACTTTTGGGTCATTTGGAGCTTTTGGACGTTTTGGGGGGGTGGAGTCTTCCGACGTTTTGGACACAATACAGGAGTCTTCCAACTCAAATGGATCCAGGATTCCAAATGGATCCAAATGGCGTATCCATTCCCGTGGGGACGGTCAGGGAGGTTTGAAGCCTCCAGGAAGACCCTACGGTGTTGAAAGCATGGCCAGTTCCACCTCAGTGTCGATTGATCCGGGGTTGGAGCATGGCCTGCCCCTACGGATCCTACGGTGTTTGATCCTGTGGGCTCTTCACATCGAACATGATCACCCAGAACTAGAACTTCAAGCGCTTCGGTGGTGCACTCGAACTCCAGCTGTGCCCGCAATCGCATCGGTACCCCTCATCGGAATGGCTCAGACTTGCCTTGGGCCATGACCACTCCGGGCCGGCGACGGTCTGGTGTTCAGGTGGAGTCCTCCCTATGCCCTTGATTGATCCGGGCGCTTCCAATTGAGAAGGACTTTGGAGGGTCCGACCCCTGCCACTTAGGGTGAGTCCAGACAGGACCAAGACCCCCTGACTGGGCCAGTCCAGGCCTGACTCGGCGAACCAGTTGGGCCGAAATGCGAACCAGTGGGGTCATCTTTGGGGAAACTGGACCATCCCGAAACCGTTTCCTCGATTCGCTGCGCTCTGCGCAGGGTAAGGAATCCCCAAATTCAGAAAGAGAGCCTTGGAGAATGGAGTGCGTCCTTGCGCCAATGTTCATCAATGTTTCCCTAGGCCTATAGGCATGGCCGTCAAATTTGGGGCGCACGGATTTCTGCGAAGGGACATCCAAAGTCCCAGACTGACTTGGCTGTTCGCTGGGCCAAAGAGGCCGAGACTTGAAACAGTGCTATTCAAAGGGGCGCAACCTTGGCAGTGTTGGGGCCCTGCGACTTTTTCTAAGTTGGAGGGCAAGCTGCTGCTTGGGACATCAAACAAAGCATGGCCTGTCAGCTGTCAGCTCTGCCTCGCTTCGCCTAGTTGGATGATGATGGGTCTTTTTGGCCTGAAGCACCACTTCAGCCCCTCGCGCCTCACCAACTTGGCCAAGAACCACCGTGGCTGCACGCCGCTGATGTCACTGGGCAGACCAGACACGAAAAGCCTTGAAGAAACGTTTAAGAACTAGAATTCTGGAATTCATCATGGAAGTGGAGACAAGTGGAGTGAAAACCACACTGTGTGGCATGAAAAATGGTCATCCGAACTTGGGGGGCCACCTTCCACTTCCATGATGATTTCAGGGAGTCTAGTTACAATGCTGGAAATCGAAGGAACTAAAGGAACCCCTTCACTTGGTTCCTTCACTTGGTTCACCGTGGTTCACTCAATGTTCACGGAATATCCCTTTGGACACCTGGAATGACGCTAAAGGTCATGTCTAAGCAAGACAGATACTACCTACTGCAGCAATAACAACATTAATTGAGACAGGACACCAGAAGAAATAATTTGTTGGCTGGATAGCTGGATAGAAGTTAATTGATGCTGTTGCAAGTTGGTCTATGTCATTAGTTTCTTTAGTAATGCGGAGCTTCTTGATTAATGCTGTCCTTTTTTTTGAATCTGAATGCTCTTAAGAAGGTAATTTTAAAAAGACAGTAATAATCCTTGTGAAGGTTGAATCGGCTTCCTTTTGGTGCTCAGTTTTAAATTCACGCGTGGCTATAGAAAAGTTAAGCAAAACATACATAACCCTGCTAAAACAATTGGAACGCCTTTTAAGCGTTTTAAGATTGCGCCTCACAAAAACCTAGGTTTTGAGCTTTAGTGTTGCTTCAACTGTTCAGACCAGCCCGGCAGAGGTTTAGAGGGAATACCAAAAAAATACAAGAAAAAATACCAAGACACGAAAAAGAAACACTGCTGGAGACACAATGAAGGCAAAACCGGACAAAAATCACAAACATATCCACATCATGTTGTTTGTTTTTGTTTGGGATTTTTTTTGTGGTATTTGGGTCTGAACAATTGAAACCAAACAATAGCTCGAACCTTTGGTTTTTGCAAGGCTTCAGTCAAAACCAGTGTAAAACACAGAGTTTTGTTCATGGTTTGCATTAACAATAGAACATAGAAACAAAACATGGCTCCAAAACCAAGGTTTTGGTGATTTTTCAGCCAACAAAGACTGTATAAATTACTAGTGTAGATTTTCTGCATGATAAACTTCTCCCAGGAGTACCCGTTCTGAATTTTGCCGAGACGTGGGGCCATTATTGAAGATGAATCCATTATATTATATACTTATGTTTTTGTTTGTTTCTGTTTAAGAGCATGTTTCATTGACTCAGCCGGTTCCTTTCAGGAGTCAAGATTACAGGGCAAGTATGGGCAAGTGCATTGAATTGCTGTATATTTTTGATGTTGATTGGTGCGGGAAGGCCATTTTTATCACCCTGCTTGCTTTTGAAACATCCTTGCTGAGCCAAGTGCGGAACGGCCGCTGGTGGAACACTTTGTAATTTATGGACTATACTGTACTTATGATGTCAAGGTCACTGAACCACATTCCTCTACTGGTGACTCTCCTGTTTCCAACCATACCATTTGTGCAAAAACTGCACCACCACGTGTTTCCATGAGTCCAACAACCATGCATTAGCCGGCCGGTGCCAGTGCCGCGGCTTGCGTGAGTAGAAGCGTGAGTAGAAATGCAAAGAATTGAGGTTTCCTAAGTCCCAAGGGCCAGGGGCCTCATGGTTTTTGGTTGAAGAATCTCGACCGAGCTAGAGTAAGAGGCAGCTGTTCACGGCTTTGAGGCAGCGCCTTCGAGCTTTGAGGGAGATCCCTGCACCGATCAACTCCCCGATCAACTGCCTCGATCAAGGTCCTAGTCAGGACATATTCAGCTTCAATCCTTTTCGGGGAACCCAACCCACAAGTAATGTAGGAGACTCTTGATTCTTGATTAATAAACCACCCCATTTTAGCTCAAACACCTCTTCATATGGAGGGTTTATTGATCAAGAGTCTACATTAGTCTTAATGGCAATGACCCCTCTCAGATTTCTCAGATTTAGCCATGCAAGGTACAGTGTGCTTAGCAGCCACTTCGAAGCCACTGTGGCACTGATCGCCCTGGGTGCTGACCTTGGGGCGCGCAATTCACAGGGGAAGACGGCGGCCGACCTGGCCCGCGAGGTCTTAGCACCACAGGAGACTTCGTTCGCACGAAAGCATGGCGTCGACAGGGCATCCGTCAGGGGTGGCAGGCGGAAAGCATTCGAAACGATCGCCTGGAAGTTTACAGGTGGTAGGTGGTGGGCTGAAAACATCGGGCACCAGGTTCCTACCATTATGCACCTTGCAGTTGGATCGGAAAAGCCTCACCGAGGGTTTTCCAAGGTTTTTGTTTGGTGTTCCTGTTGAAACAGGGATTTGGGGGTCCACCAGTTTTTGTTTATTCTTAGTGTTTGTAGTATGGGTCAAAACTGAAATGACAAGGGTGAGTGAAAACGATGGTGCAGATTACATGATTATTCATTGTTCAATGCTAGTTTGTTAGTAAGCTGTTCATATTGCGGGGTTGCTTCGACAATTTCAGTCTGATATATATATAATTATATATATATAACAATAATATATATATATATATATTTGTTATAGTTTGAACTACCTCTGAAAAGGTCATTGAGAAGCATGAGGGGCCAGGGGGGCAAGATAGTTGCGTTGGTGTCATATTTCAACACCTGAGCTCTTCTTGTGGATCTCTCTGTGTTTTGATCAGAAATAATGTGCCTTTTGTGTTAATGTTGTTTTGCTCATATGCTGTAGCGTTGATGCTCAAATGCGATGACTCCATAGAAGCATAATGAAGTATATGTTTTGAAGCCTTGTTGCTCTTGCTGGCATTGGGTTGGTGCACTTCTTCGTGCTGCAACAGTTGCCACGGATCCACACGTTGATGCCCTTCGTTGTCATGAAGTGCTCGTTCCTTGTTGGTGCGATTCGATTGCTGCTTCTTTGGTACTACGGACAGCCGTCTCTTGCAGCTCCCTGCGTGCATTTTCTTGAGGATCTTGTGATGGGGGTCATTTGGTACTTGACAGATATGTATACATATTAGTGTGCTATTCTTTTCAGGGGTAGCTAGGACACTTTGACTCTTCTGTTCTGTGACGGCCTCTGAACATACTGTAATACCACTCAGTTTTGTAGAATCTGAACTCTTCTTCACAGTTTATGTGTGAAACTGCCAGTTTCGACGGAACTGTGACAAGTTTTTTGTGGACGAGTATGGGCAAGACGTGCCGCAAGTACTGAGATCGCCTGATTGCTTGGCTGAAAAGATGCCTTTACATCCATATTCCGATATTCCACTGTGTGTGAGTGTGTGATGCAAATTAGGCCCTTAAGCCCCCATGGTCAAAAGCACACAAAAATGAAGCCAGCGCAAGAATGCCAAGACGTATGCAATACCATGAACTCATATGAAGTACTAGAAATCACTCTTTACATTAGCGATGTTTGTTGAGTCGATGAGTCGATTGGTTTTGGAAAGGGAAACAATGAACCACCACCCTAGCTACACACTCCCTACAAAAAAAGCACACCGTAGGTGAGATTGTTCTTCTCTATTCCAACTGTAGGTGTATGTATATTATATATTCTAAGTCCATATCGACAAAACAATGAGATTTTGTGTATTAAAATTGCATCATAACAATTAAGTCTATTCCAACTGCTTGTCTATAAGTGTACATATTCCATATTTGGGTGTCACATTTCGCGCTACCTGGGTCAACTTAGATCTTAGAATCACCAAAAGTGACCCACAGCCTGATGACACCGTGTCGCTGATATGTACGTATAATTATTGATTGAGGATTCCTCAACTTGATCATCTTGGGATTTTTCATCATCGCATCAAGGAGCTCAGGGCTCCGTTTGTCAGGAGCTCGTGACCTCCTTGCAGGGCAACGACCACGACGACACCGCTCCCAGGAGCGTTCGACGGGCGAAGTGGACGGTTTCGCAGTGCGCTGAGCGATGTTCCATCGAAGTCGAAGGAAATTCCTAATCTCAACTTCACCAAGGAAAGAGCATTTGTCGTTGTTTTGGTGGGAGGGAGGCTCCCAGGGCATTCTCAAAAAGTTTGGACTTGACGACCCCACCAAACCGAGGCGGATCGGTAGAGTTGGCGCACTGTTGGTGGTTATTTGGTGCCTTTCCATTGAACCCTGGAAGGCCCGTTAGAGATAGACTGGATGAGAGTTCTAGCATGTTCTAGCATGTTCTAGCACCATCCTGAATTGAGGATTGTTTGAGGCACTGGAGCCAAGCTCACTTCGTCACCCATTCCGTGAAAGTAAAGGCAGTGGCTTTGAATTGGGTGAGCCGGTCCAAATTCATCACTCACAGAGTCACAGAGAAATGAAACGCTAGCAATAGGATTTGAACACGCAATACAGTTACACCATGACTCAGATGACTTTTGCGCTGTTAGATGTGGCACTTGCCAGGACGACGACTACTGGAAGGAAATGTGAGAGTTGGCCCAGCAAGCTGGCACTTTAAGCTATGCAACACACACACACACACCCTGCAATGAGCCATGGAAAAAGCATGCTCACCCCTCTAGCCTTCGTTCGTGCCCAAGTGCCCATCTACAGTATTTCCGCACAAATTTCCTGTTGTAGTCTAAGAAGTCACCATTTATATTTTATACATGTTGTTTAATATATAGTACATATATCGTATGTGTCTCTCTCTATATATATATATTATATGTACAATTCGCAGTGTTATCGCACATACCTATGTCAATGGAACAACATATCAACTGTCACACACGATTTGGGGCAAGCGCACAAATGTTTGCCTTGGTGATGGTCGCTTCACTGATCGCCAGTTCTGCTCGGGAAGGACCTGAGAACTGCCCAACAGTCCATCAAAGAGATGCCGACCCCAGGGACTTGGGACTTGTCTTCAAAACCAACGCGCCCCAAAGCACAGGTGAACATCACGGGTTTTTATTAAAGAGCTTTCCCGGTGACATGACCAAAGCAGTTCCCTTGCGGTCCGATATTTGCCTCAAAGATTTTTTATGCAGTATCGATCATCTAAAATCACCTGTACTGTAGAGCCAGTAGAGTGGTTTTTTCGTGGAATGGCCAGCAATCCCAGGAATTACCCAACTCTTTCCCAGACATGTTTTCGGATTTGAGAACAGCAGGAACCGAGAGTGAACCAGAAAATTGCAAGTTGCTGCAGCTGGAGTTGGTCTGCCGCTTGTGTCACGTTTACGTGACATTTACATCCAGCTACCACTGGAGAAACGATGTTGATTTCCATTGACTCGAGAATAGGGTTGCAACAGCAGATATGTTTTAAAGGACCTAGTGGTAGCTCAGGAGCTTGAGGCTTGCCCTGGAGTTTTGAAGTTCAGCTCAAGTCTTTGAGAAATTCGTTTCCTACTTGGGTTGTCCCAGCAAGTCCTAACGCCCAATATGTCTAACCTACTGGATACCGCCTTTGCCCTTTCGCAGCCCTGCCATGATATTTCGCATCTTCAGGCTCTGCAAGCTGCAATGAACGCGATGCAAACCACGTCCGAACGCCACCAGAATCGGCCGGGGGACTGTTCCGAAGGCCCTGCAACATCCTGCAACCATTTCTGTCTCGCAACCTCAACTCGAACAAACTTCCCTTGTGACTGGACTGTTGCCGACGCGCCCATCATCATGCACATGCCCACCGCAACTTTCCATAGCTCGGACATTTCTCTTCAAAACGTCCCTGAGAATCCATATTGGCAGGTCCAGCCTATCGCGCTGTTTAAGGGGCACTGGAATCGAAGAAGAGCAGCGGCTTGGAGAAGAATCATCAAGAGCGGAGCTTGCTAGAGAAAAGCGGCCACAAATAGGCTTCTCATGGCTTCACCAGATCACTATATATAATAACCACCACACTGCACCAGGCTACATTTTACCACATCACAGATCACAGCACTTAACTGCGCTTCTGCACGTCACCAAACGTTGTTGTGCTTTCGCGACCGACACCCTAGCTCATCCCCTTAACTGCAGGGGTGGGTAGTGGCCCAGCTGTCCGCCTAGTGTTGCACCCGCGGATTGAATTGAAGCTGGCCCCTGGCGCATGAGGGATGCGTCATAGCCACTAGACCATACCGGCCCTGTACACTTCACCAAACTTCACTTCACTCCATCAAGACTCACCACATCGCGCTTCACCACATAATATCTCACCACCGCACTTTCCACGACTCTACACTTCACCAATGATGGAGTGGAGGCTGAGCCAATAACCACCACCTTCGACAAGATCAATTTTCTGTTGGCTGGGACGCAAGGCCTTCTCACTTTGACGGCTGGCTTGGTGCACGAAGGGTTGCACTATCAGGAGAGCCCGCCAGCACAGCGGCGCCTGGAATGGCATGGTTGTCAGGTACGCTGGACAATTGCTGCCCTCGTCAACTAAAGCACGCGAATCTCTACCCTCAGAGCACTCGCTATACAGGTGGATCCTGCAGCCCTGGTTGCAGCTCACTTGTTCCCTGAGAGTGGATCGAGCTCTCATCTAAGGCGCTGCTGAGAGGCCAGATATGGCATACTTACACTTCACCGCCTCACTTTCAGGCACCACGTTCTTATACGCTTCCCGACATTGCAGCCGCAACGCACTTCAAATCCGAAAAACCACATGCAACGTCTTCACACGAGACCCTGCACCACCCGAAGTGTCAGTGCCTTTGTTCATCACAACAAATCATTTATTGATATTTATTGAAACTTCTGCCACCGGCTCTGACAGAGAATTAGTTACCAAAATGTTTGTCAAACCTTCATGGCATGCGTTGGAGACCCACCCGAGTGGAACCAAACAGACATGTCCCCAAACTGCAAGCTGTTAATAGATCAAGCGCATTCTCGCGCAAACTTTTCACATCTACTTTTCTAGCGGTGCGGTTGTCGTTCGGGTGTACCATCAAAATCTGGTAGTGCCCCAACCCTTCCCACACCTGTCAATACAGGCATGCCTCAGTGCATCTCAGTGCGTACAAGGGATAACCCGCACCATGCCAAGGTCTCAAAACGTCGCTTTAGGCGTCTCTTTTTACTCCTGGAACTGCAATGGTTCTTGGACGCACATATGTTCGCCGTTGACGGGTCCGTTGTTTTTATCGCGGCCCCTCGACAGGGTGCAACTCGAATTGAGGGACATGACCGGGAGACGGAGATAGTCAAATCCGTGCCACCCGGAATTTTTCGAGGTGTGGTGTCCGCTGACCCCGAACAGTTTCACGGATGTGTCCTTCTCACCCCACCACATGCAACTACCCATCGCAAATCTGAAGTTCCAGCCAAGATATCGGTTTTAGGTGGGAGGTGTTGATATATTTTACCCACCTGTCAGGTGAGGGTAGTTGTTAGGTTTCAGAGGAGGATCCCGCCTCATCCTTTGTCTCTGCCTCCTCCCTTTGCAGTTCCTCAACTGCCAGCTCCAGATCGCAGTGGGCACCAACGGCATGCTCCAGATCGCAGTGGGCACTACCGGACCTCAACAGCAAGTTCCAGAGCGCGGTGGGCACTCCCGGACCTCCGCAGAATATTTGCCAGATAGAAATATGCCAGAATGTATGTCAGACAGATAGGATGTCAGAATGAAAATATGACAGATGTACAAATGTCGGAATACATGTCAGAGCACATACCAGGACCAAAGTCGGTCCATACGTCACATCACATGTCAGACAGGAGAAGTGTCAGAGCAAGAACCTTTCCCAGCCTTGATGATAGATGGTGTGTAGGGAGCACAAACCATCAGACTTGATCCCTGAACAACTGTCAGTCCGCAAGTCCGCCTTTGTAAGGCTACGTGCCCTGCCTTCTTCCAAATCGCCGGTCGGGGTGGGGATCACTTGACATAGAGTAGTTTCCATCCTCACTCGCAAATATCAAAAAACGACTGTGTTTGTTGTCCTACGATGAAAAAGGTCTGGACTATGGATGCCTGATACAATGACAAAACATGACAAATTCAAACTTGGCAACGTATTGAATGTTAAGGGCAAAAAAATTGACGCCTTCACAACTGTGTTTTCTACAACCTTTAAATCAGAATAGGATCCTTGTAAATGAAATGCCCGTCACTTCACATGAGCCCCAGCACAAAGTTGTATCATAAAACAACCCTTGCTGCACCATAGGTCTTAGCACACAAACGGCACTGCATCTCAGTACGAGTCTCAGTTTGTTTGTCAAAGGTGTTCAGGAGAGTTCGTCTATAAATCACGAAAGGTAGCTTGAGCTACCTGAGTTCTCCTTGCTTTAGCAAAAATGTATTACAATCAGGAGTTGGGATTGTGCATTGAATTGATTCTGTTCGTTGGGGGGGGGGCCCCCCCCTCCCTGGATCAAATCCCCCCTGCGCCGGTTCACGCCGTCATGGACTTCTACCAGGGTTACTTGTGATTGCCTGCTACCTTTCGTTCACCCCCTCCTCTCTCAAGTAGAATCCAAAGTCTGGCTGATATGAATTTTTGTCCCAAAGAGACACCAACGTCCTAGATCTAAACCTGCGTCCCAAACAGAAAAAACACAATGTCACAAATAAGTGCCAATACTCTCTTCCTACATCAACAAATGTTTTACTCACAAACGGACACCAAGGCATGACAAGAAAGATCAAGGATTATCAAGGCCATACATTACAAGGTCACTTGGAGTCTTTACGACCTCGATGTATGAACCAACTGGACGTTTAATAGCTCGCACTTAAGTGGTTTCTAACGAAAACCATTTTGAGGGAGCTGGATGATATTGTTCATGTTGATTCTCTCAATGATTTGATGCAAAGGTATACCCCAAACATTTACACATTACCCCTTTTATATTGATTTGTTGTTGAACATCCTTTGTGATGCACATACACCTTCACCCCTGGTAGTTGTGGAAAATATATCCATGTCCCAAAGCAGATTCAATCCCGAGTACATCTTAAATACATTTAAATACAAATGCCTCTTTTTTTGAAGTGCCTCCAATGAATTCTGTTACTAAAATGTACCCCTTGGGGTTATTTTGGGGCACGTTCTGAGGATAAAACGTACCCACCAACAAAGTGCCCCTCACCACCACACTCCGTGCCACTGTGCTCCACGCCACATGAACACACAAACGTCGCACGGGGTTCCCCACCGAGGCCTCAACAAGGCCCGCATGGCACGGGGCGTCCCATCACATGTTTAATGAAGACTCTGGAGGTGTTTGTAATTTTTACTATACGACTTGAATAACTTGAATGCAAGATGTGAGTAACTATATATGCAACATGTGAGTATAGGCAGCTTTTCGGTTTTCAGTGTTGAAGCCTTTCCGGCTCTTTACAGGTTTCCATTTTTGGGACCCCTATTTAAAACGACACCAGAATCTGTTTATTGGGCGTGGGAGAGGGGGGGGCCCGTGTCTTTTTTAGTAGGTGGATGATATACGTTTTCAGAGTGCTGGAGTTGAGCGGATACCATCAACCAGTCTCCATCGGCCATGTCCAGATCG